GAGATGCCTGCAGCTCTGATGTTTCTCATGGAAAAAAGGAAAGGAAAATTACCATTCATTGTAGACCTACGCTATTCATCTATCAACTTTATAATCCTGGTGTCCTGTGTATTAATTAGGGAGTTTGAGCTCCAAGCCCCAGAAAATGCCAACTCTACTGGCTTAAACAATAAGGGAGCTTATTACATCTCTTATAACAAGACACACAAAGCTAGAGTGGCTCCAGGGATGGTGGGGCTTAACAGTATCAACAAGAACCCCTTTCCTTCTTCTCTGCCAATCTTAGCATATTAGTTTCTTCTTTGGATTTGGGCTAGCTCACCTCGTGACTACAAAATGGCTGCAGCAAATCCAGGCATAGCATCCTGATATAATAATGATGAGAAGGAGAAAAATACCTTCTCTTCTTTGGGCCTCTCTTTAAAATGGAGGAAAACTATTGTTAGAAGCTTCTAGAAGTTTTCTCACAACTCGTTGTATCAAATGGCAATGCTTGAATCAGTCACTACCAAGGGAATTAAGATTATCGTGATTAGCCTAAACCAGTCAGGATCTCCCCTGGAACTTAGGAAGGGGAAGTGTACCCTGGAATAAAATGAGGGTTCTCTCAGCAGGGAAAAAGAGTAAAATAAATATTAGCGAGGAGACCAGCAGTGTTAGCTACAACGTTATTTTATAGAGAATTGTTTTATACTGAATTTCAGGGAGGTTAGATCGCTTATGTAAGGTCCCACCTAAAAATAGAAGTAGGATTCAAATCCAGCTCTTCTAAACTCCAAAGCCCATCCGTATACTTTTTCTGTGGCACCACTGGACCCAGGGTCAGCCTGCCTTTCCCGGAAAAGCCAAAGCCCCCTCTCTGATGGCGAGCACTTCAGGCAGGAGTTGAGGCAATCACCCTGCTTTCTCGAGCTCGACCTTCAGCTGGGCATTTAATCTGTTTATTAAGTTATGACTAATGGCGCCGCGAGACACCACGGGCTGCACATTGAGCCCTAGTTTCAGATTGTTAGAGGAGGTTCAAGGGATAAACATCATATTCCTATTCTGTGCCGAGAAAATTCAATTGCAGCTCTTTTCTCTTTCAGAGTACAGGGATTGGCGAGGGGCTTCTGCTGGGTCCTGCTTGGGTTTAATAGAAAGGAAGCCTCCAAAGCAAGAGGGCTGTTTTGGGAAAGTGGCCACTAACGTGGCCCCATGGGGCGGGGGCTAGGCCTGAACCGGGCAGTTTGCATATTCACTTTTACAAACAGTTGGCTCAGAGTCAGCAGTTAATGGGATGGGAATGATGTTCCTGTACCAAATCATTTCCTGAAAAAAAAAAAAAAAAACATTTCCAATTGCAAACATATCTCAGCCTTTCTTCTAGGGTTTGTTATGTCTCTGTGAGTGAATTAAAGAGGCAGGGCAGAGGGGAGTGTTTCTGACTGGGGATTTTTTTCATCTGAAAACATTTTAACGATGATGTACACATAAAAAAGATCCTGTTCAGACCCATCTTTAGGAGTCACTGCTGCAAATATTACATTTCTAGTCCCATTTTGGAGGTGTAAATATCTCTATATTCACAGATTAGCTCAGGCTGTACAACAGTCTTGGAACAGATGCGGCTTTTCTCTCCTTACAAAATATAAGCACACACATATGCACACACATGTGCACACAGGTTCAGGCCAAAATATAATTTTTTTCCCCCCTGAGAACAAGGTAGAATCCTTCTTTGCATTGTCTACACTGCTCTGGCAAATTCTGGCTCAATTCATAACCCGTGCAGTCAAACGGTGGTCTTAACAGTTTGGGTTATTCATTTACTCAACAAGTAGTTTTTTTTTTAATTTTTTAAAGATTTACTTATTTATTTTAGAGCGCGTGCATGTGAGCAGGGGGAGGGGCAGAGGGGTAGAAAGAGAGAGAGAAGCAGACTCCCCCCCTGAGCGCAGAGCCCCACGCGCGCCTCCATCTCACGACCCTGAGATCGTGACCTGAGCAGAAATCACGATTCAGACGCTCAACTGACCAAGCCGCTCCGGTGCCCCCACATAACGTATTTACACAATTCTTACCAACTACCAGGCACTCTTCCAAGTGCTTGACATATATTAACTCATTTAACCTTCTCAACAACCCTAGGAGGTGGGTAATATTATCATTCCCATTTTGCAGATGGGGAAACTGAGGTATAAGAAGTTAATGAACTTGCCCAAGGTCACGGAGCTAGTAGATCATGGATTTGAATGTAGGCACTCTGGCTCCTCTTTGAGGATCTAATAGTGAACAAAAGAGAAAAAGTACCAGCCTTCTCACAGTTTTTTTTTCTGGTGGGGGGTGGGGGGAAACAGACAACAGACATATGGATGATTATTATTTCAGATTGTGATGAGTGCTCTGCAGAAAATAAAACATGAGAGGGAGCAGGGGGCTTAACCAGAGGGCCTTATGGGTATTAGTAAGGAGTTGGAGCTTTATTCTGAGTATGATGGGAAGCCACAGGAGTGCTTAAAGCAGAAGAATGTATGATGCTATTTACATCCTTATACATCATTCTGACTGTGCTGTGGGAAGTAGACAGGGGTGGGGAAAATGCATCAGAAAGCAGTAGACCAGTTGGAAGGTGGTTCTGGTTGTCCAGGTGAAAGATACTGGTGGCCTGAACCAGGATGGTGTGGTGGAGATGGTGAGAAGTGGTTGGCATTGGATCCTGGTCTAGAGGCGGAGCCCACAAGACTTGCCAATGTGTTAGATGCAAGACATAAGGAAGGGGAAGTTAAGGATGATTTTTTGGATTTTGGCTTAAATCATTGTATAAATGGTGATGCCATTGACTGAAGAAGAGAAGAACAGGGGAATGACGGTCTTGTTTAAGTGTTGTCATGGTGGGGGTGAGGGTGTAGACAATCATTCTGTTGCGGAGGTATACATTTGAGATCTCTATTAATAAACCAAAGAGGAGACATTGGGTAAGCCTGGAGTTCGGGGTCAGGCCTTGTCTGGAGATTTAAATGTGGACATCATCAGCATTTGGAGATATAGGATCAACTAGGACACCACCATCCGATTGAATTTCCTGTAATGATGGACATCATTACATTTGTGGTGTCCAGCATGTTAGCCGCTAGCCACGTGTGGGCCCCTGAGCACTTGCAGTGTGACTGGTACAACTAAGAAATGGAATTTTTAATTCATTTAAATGTGAATAGCCTCATGTGGCTGGTAGCTATTGTACTGACAGTGCAGCCCTGGGGGGAGGGGGGTTTGGGGGGTGGGGACATAGGTAGAGAAGGTCCCGGGCAGGAGCTAGTCTTCACCGGCCAGTACACCCAGCCTCGCACCCCCATTTAAGCATGACTTGACTTCCGCTGCCCAGTGCTTGCACAGTAATGCTTGTTCAGTGGTGGAAATCTTGCTTCTTTGTGAGAAACAGCCTGGAAAAGAAAGTGAACTGCCAGTCTTAGGAGGAATATTAGAAGAAATTCTAAGAGTCTCACAAGACTGCAGGAGTCCATTGTTTTTCACTAGAAAGCAAACGTGATCCTAGGCTTATCAGAATCATTTTAGCCTTGAAGGTGTGGCTTATGTTTTTCAGTTATGTTTTATGAGGGGAATTATGTAGAGTGGTGGGTGCCTGTGAATTTGCAGATTCAAGACCGTGACTGGCTGATATCCCGTATGAATGTCAAGAGCCCACAGCAACGGGACTAAATACCAGCTTCATAATGCAAGTTGTGTCTCTTTAGGGTAGAGTGTGTTTCACTCTCTTTGTTAGGCAATCTCGTCCCCAGTCCAACTGCAAACATCAGTGAGTTTGCTAATATGAAAGAACTCTTTGTAAGTGACTGCCTTGTGCTTAAGAGTTCTTGCAACTTTATGCTGGCAGTCAGGGAGGCCAGATTCCATAAAAAAAAAAATAAATAAATCAAATGGAAAGATGGGACATTGCTTTTATTAAGGCTGATTGCTGCTGCCATATTAGCTCTTTGAGAGCCCTTTGGTGACCAGTGCCTTCAGAGCAAATGGCCTTTCTGTGCTTAATTGGTGAAAAGTAATTCTCCAAACTGGAAGTGAATAGAGGTGAGGAGATTTCAGTCACTGATTTTAGGGGTGGGGGGGGTGATCCAAGGTCAGTGCTCATCGAATGCCCATCACACAGTGGTTTTGTGGTAGGGATTTGTTTTTCTCTGAGGCTTCATTGCGGTGGCTGGGGTGGGTTGCGTATGGTGGGGAGCAGGCTGGAAGGCTTGAGTGGCCATTGACCTCTTTTTGTTTTCCTTGAGAAAAGTAGAATTATAGATTTCTAGGATTTGAAAATGGTGAAAAGGACTCGCTGGCCATCCATCCAGTCGAACTCTTGACATTCAGCTGAGGAAATGGGCCTAAGCGTGGAGATGTCTGGCCCCCAGGTCCCCCTACTCATTAGAGCTGAAGGGACAGGACCAGAGCCCAGAAAGAGGCTAGACTGAGGTGTTCTGGAGCAGCGGCTGGGGTGAGGTGGAGGGAAAAGAGAAGGTAGGATAATCAGAAAAATACTTAGGGAAGCCAAATAAGGAGAGAAGCCAAAGGAGGGTTGCACCAAGGGTAGAAATGGCTTACAACATAAATGTGGCCTTGACTTGGTGACCTTGTTCACCCAAACGGTTACCGGGCCCCCACTGTGCACCAGATAGAAAGCCCTGGAAGGAGGGGCAGGCAGGAGGTGACAGGCAGAGACCTCAGAAAGATGTGAGTGCCCACCTCACTTGTGGTTATCCTGAGATCGTGTCTGGGAGCAGAGAGAGGCCTGTTTCCCCGAGGAAAGGGAGTGAGGTGATAGTTGGAAGAGGTGACCTGAAGGGGACTACTCGGTCCTGTTCGTGAGGAGAGGCAGGGAATCTGTTGCAGGCTGAGTAACAGCTGTAAGCTAACCTTAGTGGTTGTATTAATGTCCATCCCAAACACGTTTGTAACAGAGCGCCTCCCCATCACCGGTGGGCTACAGTGTGACTTTGCCTGTCTTCTTCTTGTAGTATCGGAGCTTCAGGAGGAAGGCATGAACGCCATCAACCTACCCCTCAGCCCGATCCCCTTCGAGCTGGACCCGGAGGACACCATGCTGGGTAACTGGGTCTCTTGTTCTCTGGGTTAGCCTAATGCCTACAAGTGGAGCCACCCCCACTGACTGCCTTTTCCTTTTAAAGAGGAGAATGAAGTGCGAACAATGGTGGACCCAAACTCCCGCAGCGACCCCAAACTGCAAGAACTGATGAAGGTAAGAAGAAATCAGGAAGGGTGCCAACTGCCCCCCCCTCCGCCCCCCCCCCCGCCCCCGGGTTTAACAGGCGTCTGTAGACCACCTGCTCTGGATGGGCAGCTCATGGTCCCATAGGTGGACATCTCAAATTTAACAAAAATGGCACATGGCAGCTGCCCAGGGAATGGTGTGGATCGTAAGTGCCAGAGAAGTTAGTGCAGATGAGCTCACATTTGCCACGATCTTCAGGTTCATGCAGTCTTTCTGCTTTTCTCAAGGGCCCTCAAAGGCACCCTGCAAAGTAAGACTTCATGTCATCCCCGCTTACAGATGAGGAAAGTGAGTCTTAGAAAAGCCATTGGTTTGTGTATGGTCCCAGCTGAGTAGAGGAGATGGAATTCAAACAGAAGTAGATAGGATTGAATTACATCATGTACGTTGTACCTGGCAGAGGGGCTGGCATGTGGTCATCCCCTGAAAAGTGTTTATGCCATCCCCCTTTGGATTCCCCATCCTGTGTTTTTCTTCATTAGCTTCTCCAAGCTACACTCAAAACAGGACAAAAAGGCACTGGACGCCAAAGTGCTTCGTTCAAAATGTGCATCAGATCTCTCATTTTCCTGTTCAAACCGTGTGTGTAGATTCCTGCCAACTGAAGGTTGAGGCCCATGCTTCTGAGGGTGGTGTTTGGGGTCTCATGCCCTAGCTGCCTGTTCAACCTTAGATTGTCCCCTCAGAGTCACCATCTGATGACTAGTTACCACTACTCAGACACCTCTCTGTCTCCTTCCCTAAATGATGAGCTTCTCAGGGTTAGAGACCACCTCTTTTTTCATCATTGTACCCCAGGATCCAGCACAGAATATGACATGGAGCACATATTCATAAATGCTGGGTGGGTGGGTAGGGGATACGTGGGGTATGGCTGGATGGAGGGAGGGAGGAAGGGTAAGGAGGGAAGCTCCTACCAACAGTAGAACAATGTGCTGTGAAGGCCCCGGGCTCCCCCCAGGTTTGGAAACCCAGCCCAACTACAGCCCCTGTAATAAAGGCAATCTATTTCTGCTAAGTCAAAGAAGTCAAACACACAAGGTGATGTTCTTTGTGATTCCATTTTTACAAAATTATGGTGGTTGCCTGACCTGTCCTCAGGGAAGGGGACTGACTGAGCACAAAGAGCCCAAAGGAACCTTCCTCTGCTGAGGGAACAGCTCTGCATCTTGGTTGTGGTGGTGGTTACACAACTGTGTACAATGACCAAAACTCACCAAACTGCATCTTTTAAAATGAGTTAATTTTACTGTATAAAAATAATAAGCAAATGACCTGAAAAAATTTAAAATAAAAGACAACGGACTTGAACAAGCTTCAGTTTCCTTGCCTGAAAAATGAAACGAATGCTCCCTCCCTCTCGTGGGTGTTGTGCAGATTAACTAAAGGGGATGCCCGTGGAATGGCTCCGCTCGGTGCTTGATGCAGGGGGTGCTCAGGTAATGACAGCCGCTGAGAGAGCGCCAAGAGGGGAGACTGCACTGGCCCCATGGAGAGGTAGTTTGGGGCCAGGAGGAGAACAGTCCCTTAAAAGGGGACGGACAAGAGTTCGGTTCTGGTCTCCGTCCAGTCAGCAACGCGACCTTGGCAAATACGTTCACTTCTGTGTCTGATCTCCCTTCCTGAACATAGGGGTGATAGTAACACCCAACCAAATGTCATACTAGGGGAAAGCTTTATTTATTCATAGTAATATTCATATTGATTAATTCATAAGATTTATTGAGCATTTGGCCCTTGCCATATGTGATTCTTTCCTGCTACCTCAAGTGGGAGGTCTTTTCCTCCTCCATTTTAGAGGTGGGCCGTCAGAGGCTCAGAGCAGAAACTAGCCTGCCAGGTACACACAGAGGTCCGTAGATGACAGAGCTACACGAATCAGTTAGTGGGTCACTAACCCCAGGTTGTGTAACTCCAGAGTCAGTACCGTTGCCTGGTACTAGCTACACACCCAAACACTGTGTGAATGTCGCTTGCCATTGGGGTAAGGAATGGTAAGGGGCCAAAAAATACCGGCAGGGACACTGGTGTCACCAGCTTAGAAGCGCTTATACCGGAAAAATAGCAGGGCCCCTAGAGTTCACACTGCTTTGTATCCATCTACTGAGTCACATGGACAGTTCTGCTGCTTTCCAGATCTGAAGTTCATTTAGATTTTAATTGTCCAGGCTAAGAGAGCTGATCTATAAGAAAATACCCATGACTCTTCTCTTGTTCCGTCTCTCTCCCCGTAGGTGTTAATTGACTGGATTAATGACGTGCTTGTCGGTGAAAGAATCATCGTGAAAGACCTGGCTGAAGATTTATACGACGGACAAGTCCTACAGAAGCTCTTTGGTGAGAAGGGGGTTGAATGTTGCAGTGGAGAGCTTTGATCGGCGGGTGGGTGGCTCACCGACTCCTACTTAGTTGTGCTCAGCCGACAGCAGCTCATGTGCAGTGGACTAGGGCTGTGCAGGGTGTGGGACGACAGACCAGGGGAGCCTTTAGCTGTCCTCCTGCAATCGGTTCTACCGGAATGAATTGCAGAGGGAGGTCAATGACCGGATGGGGCTGCTCCCCCTAGCAGTTGAAGGCCATCAGCTGGGTAGATGAAAAGACTCCACTGTATACTGGAAAACATGCCTTACCCCCTCTAGAAAATTGTGCAGGTGTGGCCTCTGTAGGTCTAGTTTCATGTGTGCATGTTTATATAGACCTCTGTCACCTCTGGGCATGTGTGTGTGTGTGTACCTCTGCGATCTGTGGACCTGTGTGTGTGTTCCTCTGTGTATCCCTGTCTAGGTCAGGTGCAAGTGTGTGGGAACCCGTGCCTCTGTGATGTTCGGCTTCTGCGTGTCTAGGTGTGTTGTCTCTGGGAAAGTATGTTCCCCTTCTGTGTTCCTGTGGAGATATAAGGCCTCCAGGGGGAGAAAGGCAAATTCAGGGCTGATCTTAGTGTTGAAAGACCAAATTCAGCCTGACTGAATTTGGACTTTTCCTCAGCTGTTCCCTGTTTTCTCTCTCGTCCAAACCTCTGCTCCAAGTTCTAGACTTCCATTCCTAGCTACTCTCACGCTGAGCTCATCTACTTTTCCAAAGATGTTTCTTGCCCTCTTTCTTGTGACCTCAGATACGTGGGGGGCCTCCAGGGCTCATTTCTTCTTGCCACATTGTCTCCTGCATCCATCCTCCCTGCCATTTTCACTCGTCTGAACTCCTGAAACAGCTTCCGGCCTCACCTTTGTGCCTCCCGGCTCACTGCCCCCAGCCCACGGCACCAGCAGACGAGCGTCCTCAAAACCCAAGTCTAGTCTTTCCAGTGCTTGCTCTCCCCTGCCAGGGGGACCCAGGCAGGCCCTGTAGCACCGCATTCAGACATTTCCTCAGGCGACGCCCAGCTATCTTTCAGCCTCAGCTCCGGACTCCCTCACACGCATGGCTTGTGCAACGTAAAGTGCCTAGGATCATGCCGGACACGCAGTGAGTGCCCCGTCAATGTCTTTCATCCTTTTCATGAGTACTGGTTTTATTACTTTTGTGAATACCATTGCTACGTTACTATTTACATCTCTATTTACCTATTTACCTCTGTATACCTATGTAAATGTACCTATTTACATCTCTATACTTCCACCCATGCTGTTCCTCCCGCCTCGGGCCCTTCTCCCTCTCTCCGGCAGGCAAACCAATCTTGGGGTTCGTAGAGTGCGCCTGCCTCTCCGTACCTCCAACAAACACCTCTAGAAATGATGGTCATGCACCTTCTGTGTTCCCCCGGATATACACACGCATACATACAGATGTGTATATAATATACATGCCTTTATTCTATGACATTCCATGTTGTTTGTAGCTGTCCAGGGAAATGTCTGTGGCTCCTCAAGGGCAGGAAACACCACATCGTACTTATGTATCCCGGCGTGCAGTTTGCCTGCCACATGTGGTCGGGCACTTAATGTGACTGAATGAATGAGTGTTATAAAATCTAGTCATTTCTAGGAAGCTAAACTGATATGGTACTCAAACATCAGTATTAGCGAGTGTTAATATTTAAAGGCTTGTAAATGCAGCTCAACACGGAGAGGAGAAGGCTTCGGCACATGTCCGTGTAGAAAAGCCGAGAGCCTCAACTGAGCGTCTCTTTCAGTGACTGCAGCTTTTACCTCCCCAAGCAAATTTCCTGTCGGGATCTGAAAGTGTCTCAAAATGCTCTGTGCGGGCCTTTCAGGGCAAGGGTGGAACGTGGTCAGGGAGTGATGGAACTTGGTCATGAGGTAATCTTGCCTCTGCACGTGGTTCCAGAACCGCCTAGCATCACGTCTGTGGAGCCCTGAGTCAGGCACGGGGCAGTCACATTCAATTATTATTTCAGATCTCAACGCTGCTTTTGTCAACCTAAGTTTAGACCCTTTGTAGGTAGATGGCTGGGCACACATATTAAAAAGCTACAGGCAGGATAATCAGGTGGAGAGAACCAGTTTGCAGGTAAAAATATGCATTGGGAGCTCCTGGGAGGAGTCAGTCTAGAGATGGAGTTTGGGGTGACCCCTCCAACCTCGACTTCCCCTCTATTTTTCTATCTTCCTCTTTCCCAGCAAAGTTTATCAAAAGAATATTTGGCTCTGTATCTGCTCCCCCACCACTGAACATGCCCCCCTGAGGGACAAGCTGGGTCCCACCCCAACCTCTCTACCGGCTTTCCCTTCTGAGGCCACCAGTGTCGATTCCGATGACCTCCTATGCTGTGGCCTCTGACACTACTGAAAGTCTCGTCCCCCTTCCCCAGCTCAGGGGCTCCTGGGATCTCATGCCCTCCTGGTTCTCTTCGGCTTCCCACACATGCCACTTCCCCCCGACTTCTTGGTACGCTTTTCATCTCTGCATAATCGTGGGGACTCCTCAGTCTTCCATGCGTGGCCCCCTCCCCTCTCTCTTGATCTCACATCCTCTTCCTGGGTGTTTCACCTACTTCTACATTCCAGCCATCGCCTCTCTGAGGATCACTCTCTGAAGCTGTAAGGTACTCCTCTGCCTTCCAGGCATGCCCACCTGGGTGTCACCCAGGCACCTTGGAACCAACCTGCCCCAAACTGACCTGCTTATCTCCTCCCCCTCCCCACCAAAGCCATTCTCCTTTCCAGAGGGATGAATGGTGTCACAACCACACAGACAGTTGCTCAGATTAAAAACCTAGGAGTCCTCCTCTCTTGCTCCTTCTCTTTCATCCCTTATATTCTGTTAGTCACAAATTGTGACAACCGGACTCCCAAGTGCATGTGTCAAACCATCCCATTTCTCTGAAGCACTTAGAAAGTACTGGCTCCCTCCATGCTAGGTCGGTGGAACTTTCTCCACGACTTTCCAGCCCCAGCGCTGCCGCCGTAACTTCTCTGGCTCCAAAAATCCTTTTCTCCATGGCATGCTGCTTCCTGCCCTGGTAGCCTTCTAAGAACTTCCAGATCCTCTTTATATTTTACTATTTGTCTTAACACTTCCTAGGCCATTTGTCAGTAGGTTTGGGTTTTTTTTTAACTTTTACTTTGAACTAATTTTAGACTTAGAGTTGTAAAGAGAATGCAGAGTTCCTGACCCCCCGGCCCAGCTCCCTCTATGCTAACATCTTACCTGACCACAGTACAAGGACCAAAACTAAGAAATCAACCTCAGCATGATGATTAAGTTACAGAATTTATTTGGATTTCACCAGTTTTTTACATTTATGTCCTTTTTCAGCTCTAGAATCTAATCCAAGATCATACACTTTGTTCAGTAGTCATGTCCCCTCCAACCTGTGACGGTCTTTGCCTTTCCTGTCTTTCATGACCTTGACACTTTTGAAAAAGGACTGATTATTTTTTAGAATGGCTTCCAACTTGGGTCTGTCTGATGTTTTCTGAGGATTAGATGAAGGTTACATATTTAGGGGAAGAATACCACAGACGTGATGGGTCCTTCTCAGTGTACTGTATCAGGGGAGTACTTGAGGTTAGCATGTCTTATTACTGGTGAGTTAACCCTGATCACTTGGTTAAGGTGGTGTCTGTCAGAGTTCTTCACTGTGAAGTTACTATTTTTTTTTAGTGATTCATATATTTAGGGGCGGGGGAGATAAGATTATGCAAATATCTTGTTTTTCCTTAAATTTTCCCCACTGATTTTAATTGTTGGAGCATATCTGCCTCAGTTATTACTGTGGTTGCCTAGTGGATATTTTCTATTTTCTTCATTCCTTCTACATTCATCCATTCATTCATTTTTTTAGAGAGAGAGAGCACGTGTACGCGAGAGTGGAGAAGTGAGGGGCAGAGGGAGAGAGAGAATCTTAAGCAGGTTCCATACCCACCATGGAGCCTGATGCAGGGCTTGATCTCATGACCCCAAGATGATGACCTGAGTCAAAATCAAGAGTTGGATGCTTAACTGACTGAGCCACCTGGGCACACCCATTCCTTCCACATTTATTAATTGGAATCCTTCTGTTAGGAAAAGTTGCCCATTTATTCAGTATGGACACAAGGGTATTTATTTTATACTTTAGATTATAATCCAATATTACCTTTTTTTTTTTTGGCTCCTATACCTCCAGCTTTGACCATTGGAGCTCTTTCAGGTTGGCTCCTGGCCACTTTGGACGTGCCAGCGCATGTTTTTTGTTCTTAGCACTTCCTTACTTTCTGGCATCATGAAATGTCCCAGACTCATCTTAAGTTTTACTTACTCTGGCCCTGGAATCAGCCATTTCTCCACAGAGCTCTGATTTCTTTTGTTAGAAGATGGTATTTCGAATCAATATCTGGGCATATGAGAGAGAGACTTTTGCTATCTGTAGCACACATAAACATCTATACATAGGTACGGTACTATGACCTGGGAGTTCGAAGATGAACCAGGCATGATCATTCCCAGAAATGCACTTTCAAATTGTACGGGGGCTGGGCATGGGAGTAGGAGGGGCTGAGGTTGGGTTTAGGAAACTATGAAACACTGGCACTTAGAGGAAAATGGAAATGCCACAGGCACCTCCAGGAGTCTGGATGTGCTAAGCGAGTCACATCTCCAGAGCAGGATATGGATCTGGAATCCAGGGAACCAGGTTGATGACCTCATGGAGCAAGGACTCAGAACCTAGACATGACCAAGATCTGGAGGCAAGAATCTCTCGGCAAAAGGCCTGAATAGGTAAGCATCCCTGAGATGACAGGCCCCCTCTGCTGAGCAGCATTGGCTGGGAGTTCTCTGACCACAAGCTCTGTGAAGGCAGGGTCATACCTGGGTCTCTGGGTCTCCGCTGCACAGCCAGATGCTCCTTGTTCGGCAGCACGGTCTACTCTGCTTGCCTTTCTCAGAGACCCCAG